GCTATTACCGATAAAGGATTGTACGAATTGGAAAATCAAGTTGGAGTCAAATTGCCCAAAAATTGGAACGTGACTCACCTCAAAAGGTATTATTGCTGATAGATCCTATCTAGGTATATGCTGTAGTCTTTTTCCGTTCGACCAGTTTTTATCCCAATCGGATTTTTCTGGCAAGGTTTCTAATGAGGCATCAACAAAAATCATACTATGAGAGGAGTGTCATCGGCTAGGTTAAGACCTATAAATGACAAGGCATTGAAATCATAAACAACTATGGGATGGTTAAATAATCTTTAGCTCGATGGCAAGTTCCTAATGGGAAACAAAACTCGCCATCTAACCAAAGACTATTTAACCGTTCACGAGTTGCTTCCACCGATGAAGCAAGACTTCTAGTGTTCCAATTTGCATACTTCGCATTCGAACACTGGGGGATAGTATCAGATACAGCAACATGAATGCTATGAAAACCGGGAACAACAATGTCTCATCAGGACCGGGGACTGCATGGCCAGCCCTGTAGAAATAAGTTGTACAAGTTAGCCACATGTATTGGTAGTTTCTTTTTATTTTCTTTAGAAAACGAATGCGTATGTACTTTTAAAGATAGAAGGAATAAAATAAATTTCTTCTATTTTTATCTTGTTTCTTGTCCAAAAGATGAGTTGATTTTATCATTTGAAAGTTAACAAAAAAATTCAATTGCTTGTGCCGGAATGAACATGAGACATCCTCTTCAAGAGAACCGTAAACATAAGAGATCCCTCTCTTATGAAACCCTCATAGTAAAGGATTGATTTCTGAAGAATTCATGCCATGAACGGGAAGCTATCGGATGAAAGTATGCCCTAATCTTTAAATAATTCAACACAAAGAAAATATACCTTATATGACAATTGAAAGAAAGTTCTTCTATATTTATCAAAAGAGCCAAATTCGACGAAAAGTTTTTCATAATTACAAAGTTCAAAAACAAATAAGGGGAAAAACAACAAAAGGAAATAAGCTAAGCATTATCGCCACCGAAGTCTCGGAGAAGAGAGGCATCTGCATCCCCCCGATAGAAGAGGACAGATCAACTGCAGGTTCAAAGTTCTCTTCAATTATGTCCTCGGTTCTCGAATACTCAGAACTATTGCTCGAAGAGTCAGTTACAGTGGGCTGATCAGGGAGATGTTCTCGAGCAGCTAGCTCCAATTCTCAGGCCTTAGTGATGCAATTATCAATATCAATGGCGACCGCTCTAGCCTCTTCCAAGGTTTTTCTCCTCATATTACACATAGCATTCATCTTCTCAAATACAAGGGAATCCCCTTGGTGCTAGAGCTTTAATTTAAGTCTGTCAACCTCGGCCTAAAGGCCATCCCTCTCGGATCTCATGGCACCGAGGCTAGAATCAAGATCACAGGTTGTATATAGATGAATCTCGTTTTGCTCCATGACCTTCTTGAATCTCTCCTCCATTCTATCCCTCTTATCCTCGACAATATTTGCCTCCTCGGTTTTGGAGCTCATGGCTGCCTTTAAGTTATTCACCTATTACTCGAAGGCAGACTCACGCTCGATAGTAGTAAGCACAACATCTTGGAGCTCAGCCCACTTAGCCTTAGCCTCTTGGAATTGTGCATGTAATTGAGTGGCTTCTTGGCTGTGGGCCATCACTTCTTATTTGCTTTGCTGAAACCAGTCCTCAACCTCGCCCACCTTAGTAGCTTTTGCCTCCAACACGAGAGGCGCACAACAAGTTGATCCCTTTCGGCCAATAATTGATCCCACTCGGAGGAGAGTCCTTACTTATCAAGGATCAATTTCTGCAGGCCCTCGGAAGCAAGAAAGTTGGCCTGTAAAAAAGAATATTAAGGTTAGAAATCCCGTTACAACAAAACAGAAAACAAGTGATAAGAAAAAAAGTACGGTACCATTGCCGCATTATGCATAAATTGCTCAACAAACACTCCCCCAAAAGGGGGCGTAATTTCTTCATATATTTCTCTAAAGCAAACTGCTTCAGGTAGTTTGCAAGCTCTACCAGCCTAGGCAGTAGATGGTACTCCTTCGAAACTGAAAGAGTAGCACTCATCCTCCCTCGGGGATCTGGGGAAGGGGGTGAATAATTATGCCCTAGACTCTCGTAGTCGGGAGACCAAGTAGGAGGAGCTGCCGCCTCTCAAACATCTGTTTCTAGTGGAGAAGACACAGTGGGTGCTGGTGGAGAAGTTACAGCTGGTGTAGAGGGACATGAAGTTGTTGGCGTTAAAGGTTGTAAAGCAATTGCAACGGGAGTAATGCTGATTATTGGTTTCTCAGTGTTCGAAGTTAGAAGAGGCCCGATGTCCAAGCTCCTTGGACTGGAGATAGCAACTGGAGTTGGAAAGTGAGAATCAGCATCCTCCACTATTTCCATCTCGCCCCAAAGTGCTTGGATGTCATTTGTGTTCGGGTTTTGAAGCTTTCCCTGCTGAGCATCCAGTTGAGCTGATGAAGTTATCTTTCTTCTTTGGAGGGGAGCCACTTCCACAACAACCAATGTGGCTGGATCCTTCGTTGTGGTCTTTATTTTCTTATTTTTATCCCCTACTGAGAAAGAACGTCACCTTTTTAGTTGTTTGTTCTCTAGCTGGGAAATCCGAGAGGAAGCACCCTCACTAGAAGCAAATCTGAGGGCACTGCTTTGAGCAAGGGCACTTTGTAGCACCCTCGCGGCCTCCGCAGGGTCAACCAAAATATCAACCTCGGGGTAGGTGACAGAGCCCTGTGGGAGTCCTGAATCAAGCAAAACATGGAGTTTGCAAAATTACCTATGTTCATACAAAGACAAAAGGCAAAATGATTCGGTTTACCATGGTTCTTGGCCCTCCACCCATATTTGGGGACCATTTCTTTTCCACCGTCGAGATTCTGGTGTTGTAACATCCAAAATCTTCTAAACCCACTGGTCCAGGCCTTGAACCCATGGTGGTTCTCACCGGGTAGCTGAAGCAAAAGAAACAAAGAGGTCAAGATAACAGAAAGCAAGCTTTTCGCGAAGAAATAAAATGAATCAAAAACTTACGAAAATGGTTCCACGACTCAGGAAAAGGTAGAGTGTGATGGCCACTAAATTTTATTAGTCCGCATGTAAAATTTCGGGGGAGTAGAGATTCATCATCTGTGCCATGGTTAGGATTTTCCCGGTCTATATGCACAACTGGCTAGGCAAACCACCGTTCACCATATAGATGGGCACACTTCTGCGAAGCAGATCTGGTACCGGTGGTAGAACTCCAAAATTTATGGGGTCAAGCACTTCACTCGTCCCCAAGGAAAACGGACCCAAGGTGAAGGGATACGTATAGACACGTGCTACCTTTGTTGGTGAAGGTAACTCGCTTTATCATATCCGGAGCAAGGATGTCAAGGTTTGGGCAGTTACAGTCCTCCTTCACAGCAGGAATACTAGAAGGTCAAATAGAGGAGGGGTGCCTACTAACAGCCCAAGTCTGTGGAGAGGCGTATGGAAGCTTCTCTTAGAAGTCATTGGCGGTACTTAGGAGTTTGGATATGATGGTGTTTACAGTGGGAGTCTCGGAATCAACATCATCTTCTTTTTCTTTGTTTCTCTTTGAGACTCTACCGAAGAGAAGACCAGAGTTTCTAAAAGATTCAGTAGAAGAGGCCATGGTAGTAAAAAGGCAGTGAAGTTTTTAGAGAAAGTTAGGAAAGATGAAAGTTTTCTAAGAAGGAGGACGTTGAGTGTAGAGAAAATGATGAACTTATGAAAATTTTGGAAGAGAAAGAGGTAAAATGATGAATATAAGTAAGGTTATAGATGAAAAAAATCATGGTCATGATTACCTCAAGAACCGTCAAAAATACTGTTGAATCATGGTGCAACACGTATTCGGGGTTTTAAATGTGAGAAGACGTGTGTCCTTTCGAGCGTCAGAGACTGTTCAGGAGATTTCGTACCAAGAAAAGGATCTTCACCAACTTCCCGATGACACAAAGATATGTCACTAAAAAGCAGGGGACTATCTGTATAGGGTAAAATTGATTTATAATAAATGATCAAATGATAGGATGACATGTGGAACCAAAGACAATGAAAAGCGAATCAAGTAACAACCAATACCGAGAACAACGATGCAATTTATGGGTAAACCCAGAGGGAGTCTGGTCAACGAGAGCAAATCGAATATTTGCCATCGGGTAGCATTTAATGAAGAATATTTTCTAACATTAAATGAGCAATCATTGCAGAGAATATTTGCATTCATGTCCTACTGTTACATTTTCATCATTGGCTCCTTTATTATCATTTAAGTAGGGTTTGATCCTAGGAACTTGTTTCTTTAGGTATAACTATAAATAGCAGGTTCAGTAGCCATTGCAAGACACAAAAATTCTTGGCAAAACATCTGTTATATTACATTTTCGTTGTCAATTAAACTACTTTATTTGCTTTTTTATATTGTTCTTATTTCTATCCTCAGAGACGTTGTTCTCGCAGCCGGGCTTGTTGTCTTCTTCAATTTTAATTGCTAAGTCTTACTTTTAATGTTGTTTATTTACCATTTTTGAATCAAGTCAGTTGGTTTGTCTATAAATCATGTAACAAATTTAACTGCACCATTTTACGGCGTTTTACGGGTAAACATGAATAAAAATTTGTTTGGTTGTTATTTAAAAGGATCTAAACTATAAGTGAAGAAGAGAGGCTCATACACGCTTCATTGTATATGAAGCATTGTAACATTAATGAAGGTTTTGATTATGAAGCATTGGCTTTGGCCTTAGATTATTTAGGACTGTTAGGGTATTTAAGTTATTTGAAAGGGTATTTTTGTAGTTTAACTTTTTAGTTTTAGGGTTCCTACTTCTAGTCCCTTCATAGGCTCCTGGTCATGGACCTTGAGATCACGAGGAAGAGGAAGAGGAGGGCGATGTATAGCCAACATATGATCAAGTGGGGAGCCTTGACGGTAGATAAAGCGCAGGAGTTGGGGGTCAAGCTGTTGACTATGGGGGCTTGGAGGAGTAGTGGGACGCAAGTGCTATGTGGACCACGACTGCGCAGTGTATTCGGGAAGCTGCGAGAGAGGTATTAGGGGTCTCAAAGGTTTTCTCTGATGGTCACAAGGGAGACTGGTGGTAGAATGGAGAGGTGCAAAGAAAAGTGGAAACCAAGAAAGCAGCGTATCTGAAGCTAGTGGAAAGTGTAGACGAGCAGGAGAAGAGGGCGAATAGGGAGCATTATATGTTGGCTAAGAAAGAAGCAAATCTAGCAGTTACGGTGGCCAAGACAACAGCTTTTAGTGATTTGTATGAGGAACTCGAGGCCCGAGGTGGGGATAAGAGATTGTTCAGGCTAGCCAAGGTAAAGGAAGGTGCGTGACTTGGACCAAAAGAAGTGCATCTAGGACGAAGAAGGTAGATTTTTGTTGGATGAGGGGCTTAACTGTTTGAGATGGCAGACCTACTTCCATAGTCTCTTGAACAAGGAGGGGAATGTGAGCATTGTACTGGGTGATTTGGAACTCTCAGGGAGTGGTTGTGACTTTGGGTATTGTAGGCGGATTAGAGTTGATGAAGTTGAGGAGGCTATATGTAAGATGAGTAGGGGCAAAGCAACCAGCCGGATGAAATTCCGGTGAAGTTTTGGAAGAGTGCGGGAAAGGCAGGCTTGGAGTGGCTCACTGGGTTATTTAATGTCATTTTTAGAACGAAGAAGATGCTTGAAGAGTATGAGAGAAGCACGATGGTTCCTGTATACAAGAACAAGGGTGATATCCAAAATTGCAATAACTATCGGGGTATCAAGCTGCTTAGACATACTATGAAAGTCTGGGAAAGAGTGGTAGAGTTAAGGGTGAGGAGGAGTGTAGCTATTTTTTAGAATCAGTTCAGGTTTATGCCGGGACGTTTGAATACAGAAGTCATCCACCTTGTTAGGAGATTGATAGAGGAGTACAGGGAGAGAAAGAATGACTTGTACATAGTGTTCATCGACTTAGAAAATGCGAACGATAAAGTTCCAAGGGAGGTTTAGTGGAGATGCTTGGACGGTAGAGGTTACTTGTTGCCTATGTTAGGTTGATTAAGGACATGCATGATGGAGCAAAGACCCGAGTGAGGACGGTGAGTGGGGACTCAGACTATTTTTCGATTATGATGGGGTTGCATCAGGGGTCGGCACTCAGCCTTTTTTCGTTTGCTCTGTCGATGGATGTACTGACGCGCCATATCCAAGAAGAGGTGTCGTGGTGCATGCTATTTGTAGATAATATTGTATTGATTGACGAGATGCGAGACGGTGTGAAAGCGCAATAAGAGGTATGAAAGCAGACCCTGGAGTCTAAAGGTTTCAAGTGAGCAGGACCAAGACAGAATACTTGGAGTGTAAGTTCAGTGGCGAGACTCAAGGAGGGGAAGGGGAGGTGAGGCTGGACTCATAGATCATCCCTAGGAGAAGAAGTTTTAAGTACCTTGGATCTATTTCAGGGGGATGGGAAGATTGATGAAGATGTCACACATCGTATTAGGGCGGGATGGATGAAATAGAGACTCGCTTCTGGTGTTTTGTGTGACAAGAAGGTGCCACCAAAAATTAAAGGTAAGTTCTACTGAGTGGTGGTCAGGCCAACGATAATGTATGGGGCTAAGTATGGCCAGTCAAGATCACTCATGTCCAGAAGATGAAGGTAGCAGAGATGAGGATGTTGAGATGGATGTGCGGGCACACCAGGTTAGATAGGATCAGAAATGAGGTTATTCGTGACAAGGTAGGTGTGGCCCCTATTGAGGACAAGATGCGGGAAGCACGGCTTAGGTGGTTTGGTCATGTGAGGAGGAGGAGCACAAACGTCCCGGTGAGGAGGTGTGAGAGGTTGACATTGGAGGGCCTACATAGAGGTAGAGGTAGGCCAAAGAAGAGGTGGGGAGAGGTAATTAGGCAAGACATGACGCAGCTTCAGCTGCTTGAGGACATGACCCTTGATAGGAAGGTATGGAGGTCGAGGATTATGGTAGTAAAGTAGGTAATCTAGAGTGTTCATAATTGTAGTATTGGCACGCAGTCTCGCTTTCTTTTGGTAATAGGTTTTTATGACTAACCGTTGTTTTCTTTCATTGTTGATCACCTTACTATCTTATTATTTTTATTCTGCTTTTATATGGCTTTTTGGTACTATCCGTTCTTGTCTATATTTTTCATTAATGTGGTGCTCATGCTTTCCTGAACCAAGGGTCTATTGGAAACAACCTCTCTATTCTCACAAGGTAGATGTAAGGTTTGCGTACACACTATCCTCCCCAGACATCACAGTGTGGGATAATATTGGGTAAGTTGTTGTTGTTGTTGTTGTCGGTTCCTACTTCTAATAATATAGAGATTATCATATCAAAAGTCATTCTATCGGATATTCAATATTATTGTTTTGGTTTAATTATATGTTATATTGATTAAAAACTTTAGTGTGTATTTCTTATTTTAGTTTTTTATGTTTTAATAAAAGAGAAATAATAAATATTTAAAAAAAATCTATGTTTAAATAAGGCAAAACGACCTCGTAGCCACTTAAACTTGCATCGATTTTTCATTCTGGTAAACAAACTTTGAACTTTTTCATTTGAACACTTCAACTTATCAAAACACATGTTTTAAACCCCTCCATTAGAGTGTGATACTCAATTGCGCTGACAAAAATAACACGTTATATAATAAAACTTTTTATGGTTTGACACGTGTAATTTGTGGGTCCCATATTTAAATATCAATTTATGAATTTTTTCTAAAAAAAATTCTTTCTCTCCTTCTCAATCCCACCAAAACTATTCCATCGGAGACATACCACCAACACAAGCTTCATTCATGACCAATTCTTGGCCGGACAAAAAACCTCTTAAATTATATACCTTATTTTCCTTCTATTTTTTTTACCCAAACCTTATTCTTTTAGTCTTATGTTCAATAAAATCGTCATTTTGTCCATAAAATATTTGGTCTCATTTCCAGAAAATTATATGCCAGTGGCACTGTCGTCGTCATGCCTTGTTAGAGCACCAACAACCCTGCATCTCTTGAGAGATCGAAGGCATCAACGAGCAACAAAAATGAGAAAGCTACAGTCGGCCACCAATCCAACATCACCTTTGTACTTCCAGTGAGTTACCTACTTCCACCGAATCTCCTCCACCAATTCCAAGTCTTAAACTCCAACCTCCAAATCATTTTGTTGCAACTAAGAAAACACCAATCGAACTTCATTAAAAAAAAAAAAAAACATATGTGACAACACCTCGCAAGAACCTCAGAAGAATGTTGTTACCACGTAGGCATAGTCAACTATCAAAGTGGCTTATTGAGGTGTAAATAATCAAGTTGGGTGTTCAAATGGAAAAGTTATAAGTTTATTTACTGGAATAGAAAATTGAAGCAAGTTTAAATGGCTATGTGATCGTTTGCCTTTAAATAATCTCAATGTAAAATGAACTTTGACACAAGTCTTTTTCGCATATTGGCCAAATATGTTTTTGGCAATGGACTCTAACATTGCTAAAACGCGAATAAGGTAGACTGTTAGGTAAGATATTTAATACAATAATTTATTAAGTTTCAAGTAAAATAAATTTATTACTATTTTTCGAATAAAAATAAATTGTAAAATAATTAACCCCTACCAAAGTCTGAGGAAGTAATTTATTAAAGAAATTTTCTTATTTTAAACTTCCTTTTTACTTTCAAGTAAACTCATAGCGCAAATGTTTAACTTTTTTTATTTTAATAGTACTTAATTAGAATATGAAGTTATAAGTTCTTAAAATTCAATTAAGTTTACCATATGCCCGACTAATATCACTGATTTTGAAGTATATCAAATGTTGGCTAGCTTTCTTGAATAACCTATTGGTTATCTCCTAGTTTGCAGCCAAAAAAAAAATGCTTCAACAACGGTCAAAACTATAATACAGTATTATTGTAAATGAAATTACTAATTTAATTCATACAAATAAAGATGGCAATTTGAATTAAAAAGTATTTAACAGGTCAATATTACAGATTAATGTTTGCAGAAATTAAATTTTCATAAGTACATTAGTGATATTCTTTTTTTTTTCTGAGTTGGATGCTCAATTTGGTTTAAACATGACATTCTTTTTATAAACTTATGAGAACTTTTTTAAACTCATGTCTAGCTATTCTAAATGATATCAAGAGAAAAACAGGACATGAATTGGTGTAAATATATTTAATGTCTTATTTACTGGTGGCTCAAATTTTTAAGCATATTCCGAGTTAATTTAATTAATTGATAGTATTTCCGCGTGTCCTTTGAAATTATTGCAATCATCAAACCAATAATCATGTATACCATTTAGAATTTTTATTTCTTAATTTAAAAAATTATTTTTTAAGCCTTCGGAAATATACTAACCTAGTATGTAGAATTTAGTACACCATAATTTTAAAGACAATTCCACTATTATATACATGTAGACACGCACAACAAAAATAATTTTTAGATCTTGATTTCTGAGAACTCGTGTATGTGTGGATGCAAAAGCTGATATGTTAAAGGTAGATCTATGATTTAAAATCTATTGGTTCGACCTTAATATATTCTTAGCATTGAACCCTTTATATTTTTAAAGTTATGGATTCATATCTACTATTTTTTATTATTTGATAGATTTTTATACATAAATTTATGCTTAACGTTACAAGTATTGAGTTCAGTTGAACCCGACACTCCTTTGTTGCATCCGCCTTTGTTCATGGGATGCAAATACTTGAAGAGCATAATTGATATAATAATCTCTTCGTTCATATATTTTAATTGTTTAACTGAAAATATCTCTCCTTTTAAATTTAAATTATCATCTTAGCGATATTTGAAAAAATAGCGGTAAAAGTTATAAGTTTTGTTTAGCATGTCAATTTGGTGTATGCACCACTTTACTTGTTTAGACCGTTGACATTTAGAAGAACTGTTCAATCATATAATCAAATGGAAATCTCACAAGAGGTTTTGTTTTTTTCCTTAAAATAGTTGAGCTCCATAACCACAAATATGTGCACATGGAACATAATTAAACAATTAATTGCTTAAATAAGTAGGATGAATTTATCAATGTTAGTGGTATCATGGTGTTCATGTCAATGTTAGTTTGGGAACTAAACTAATCTATCATACTATATTATAATTGGGAAACCTCAAAGTAAAAGTTGAATTACTATATTACCCATTAAAAGCTGAGTGACTATTTTGCCCTTAAATTACACATTTACTCCTATAATTTTTGTTACTTAAAAGTAAATTTACCTTTCAAAAATTAATGATATTGTATTAAAATGAAATTAGATAAACGTACCAATACTTGTCCATGTGCAACTCTCACTACAGCCTATTATATGTGTTGCAATTGTTTTCATATTTCAATACTTATTGCAACTATTAGAATACCTATTTAATATTTCAACTCTTTTCAACTTCCAATATTAACTATAAATGGGAAGGTGAACCTTTACCAGAACCTTTTATATCCTACTCATAACATAAAAAAATGGACAACTAACTTGTTAAGCAATTATTCTCTCTGTCAAGCCATTATCCATTAAAAACATCATTCTTCAAATTATGCATACTGCTCAGCA